TGTTACAGCTGCCAAGTACAATGCTTCTCTCTGGGATTGGGAGAAGGTTAAAAACCATTTGTTAGGTATTTGGCAAAATAGTAATAATAGCTTGGATATTCTGGAATTTCATCACCATATCCAAGACATTCAAAATAATAGAGCTGATTTTTCGGATCCTTCTTCTTTGGCTAACCAAATATTGAAGGAGTTGAATGGATTCAACCCTGGAAATATTCTTAAACACTCAGCCTGGTACATTATTGGATTATTCTCTTTGCTGTTAATTCTCTTTTGTGTTGTAATCATAGGATGGCGAGTCTTCGGAACAAGAATACAGAAACTCCAGAGAGTGAACCGCCGCCTCATTTTTAAGAAAAGAAAGGGGGGATATGTGGGGAGCCATTCTCACACATGACTGGGCGACTCCCGGTTTGGGTCTGAGGCGTTCTGGCTGTGTCGGAGCTTTCCCGGCCCTCTCCTAATGAGAGAACCCGTCCGTGTGGGGGTGTGACTGACCACTGACCCCGGGGGCCCAATCACTGACCCTGACCTTGGAGTTCGGCCCCCCCCTCAACCTTCATTGGATGGAATTCTCCCCTGAATTTCTTGTTCCCCAATAAAAGGTTATTCCCTGGCGTGCTTGCTCTCTCTCTCTCCTGCTAGCCCTGAGTAATCCTCGCTGCCCTATAGGTGGTTCGAGGTGGAAGCCAGAGAGGGGAGCCGTCTCGGACCTGGTCATAGAAAAAGGTAACTGAGTCTGTGTGTTTTATTTCGATCTCGCTAGCTAACTTTTATGCCAAGAACCTCATTAATGAAACCATTGCGCTGGCCGCATGGTGGACTTCCTATCTGCCTAGCTGCAGAGATCTTCAGAATTGACTAAAGTTGAGGTAAAGAAAACACCTGAACTTGAAATTGCAAATTCATGCCTCCTACCCATTCGATTATCTATTTAATGCCTGTTTTCTGTCAGCATACTGTTAAGCTGCTACAGAAAGTCCTCCGTTCTTGGCTAGCCTCAAAACCTCCAGCACCTTGGACAGCGTCTGGTACTGTGTAGGGAGGGATTCAATAGCAACAGAAACTAAGGCATCCTCCCTGTGGTGTCCCAGTTCTAGGCATTTTACATGCCCTAACTTGTTTTTTCCTGATTACAACTCTACCATGTTGTTACTACTATTATATCTTTTCAAAAACAAGGAAAGAAATTGAAATGAGGAGAGATTAAGTAACCTTTTAGTAATAGGAGATGACATAAATAGTAATTGGCACATGATAGTCAGTGGAGCTGGTATTCAAACCCAAGCAATCTTGCTCCAGAAATGCTGGGCTTTACCTCCACACGACATGCTATGGTGTCTCTGGCATTGAATCATGGATTTATTTCCTATCAACTAAGGCAAAAAGGACACGTGGGTCTCCTTTTCTAAGTAGGCATAAAACTGGTCAGGAAAGACCAGGATTTCCTGTACTAACTTCTCAGGCTGGGGACTGAATGCTACCATGAATTCCACCAAGAGCTGCTGAGAGTCTCAAGATGGGCATCTGGGGGCGAGGAGTGTCTTCAGCTCAGTTCTCCTGGGTGCTTTGGTCATTTGGCTCTTTCCAGTACTCATAGCTGCCAGGGTTAACTTTTATACTGTTAAAAGTATAAAACTTTTATGCTCATCTAGACCCCTCATCTAGGCAATGCCCTCAGAGGCAGATGGACCTCTATCTTTGCTCTGCCTGCACCCAGACATCTTCTGGGGACCTTTTTTTTGCCCCCTTGTCATTTGCTTTCAGTAGCCCTCTTTTCTGGAGACCAGCCCCCTGCTCTCCCATCTTAGAAAATGCTTCCCTCATCCCAGGGATCTCAATTCTGAAGGACGGGGGGGCTCATTATGAGCCAGTATGTTCTCTGTCTCTGTGTGTGTGTGTGTGTGTGTGTGTGTGTGTGTGTGCGCGCAGCTGCCCAGACACTGTGGATATTTCTCAGCCTTCATCTTGCTTGGCTTCCAGGCTGCAGTGTTGTTCCCTTTTCAGTTGGCAGGGTCACCCCTCAACCCCCTACTCCCTGGCCATCTATGTGCAGCTGCTTTTGAAATCAACACCTCTTCTTGCAGAAGAACAGAAAGGACTGGGACTCTTGCCTTTTTCTCCATGTCCATGGGTCTCCTTCAAGTTGCTGCTAAATTGTCACCTGTCCTGGCCTATGTGGAATGCCCTTTCTGTGTCCTCAAACCACTCAGGTCACATGACAGTGAAGCTCTCATCACACTTCATGTTATAAAAATTTACGTGCCTCTGGCTGGAGTTGTGGCTCAGCGGTAGAGCACACACCTTGCATGTGCAAGGCCCTGGGTTCGATCCTCATCACCACATAAAAAATAAATAAATAAAACAAAGGTATTGTGTCCAACTACAAATAAAAAATATATTTTAAAAAGTCATGTGCCTCACTGAAAATGTGGAGAGAGCAGGGATGCTGACTATGATCTACTGTGTGTCAGTACTTAGCATGAGTCCTGGTGTATAGTATAGTAAGTGCTCAGGAAATGGGTTTCATAGATGTGAAGAGATGAATGATAAGAATAAGAGCCAAGGCAGAATAATTACAGGGACCAAGATTAAGGGTTGGGCAGGGACCCTTAATGATATGGGGTTCCTTCCTTCCTTTCTTCTTTCCTATACCTGGGAAATGAATATTCAAGAATCTGAGAGGAAAGATCTGACAACCTAATTAACTTGTCCTTTTTCATACCTAAAAACTCTGTCACTCAAATAATTGCCACACAATAAAGTGATGTTTGTACATCTGTGGTGTCTTATCTCACCAAACATCAGACTTCCCGATTTTAGGGCACAGAGAAAGAAAGGAGGAGAAGTTCAGTGGACCTGAGAAGCACTGTTCATGAGTGCCAGTGTTTGGAATGAGAGTCTGGGCTGGGTCCTGAGCAATGATCCTATGGAATATAGGTGACTTTGTGCTTTATAAAGGCCTGCTTTTGTGTCTTCGTGACATGTGTGGCCCTCTAATTTAAACCTGCTGGGGTTTAAAGGAAAAGCCAAGGAACAACAGTACAGATTCTGGGTTTTCTTACCAAGCCAGCAGGGCCTCTTCATGAGATGTGGTCACATTCCAGTAATGTCCAACTGAATGTCCCACCAGCATGCTGCAGGCCAGGGTAGGGGGCTGGTCACAATACCAGAATTCACCTGAATCTTCATCCTTGTAGTAACAGAAGGATTTTTCCTCCCTGATCAACAAGGGATTCACATTGCAAGATACACTTTCTTCATCTCCCCTGGGTCCCCGGAAATAGCCTATGAAATCAATTGTGGCCCAGTGTTCTGTCCAGATTCTGCGCAGAACCCCAACGGCCTCACTGGAGTGGATCAGCCGCACTTGCACCTGGGCCATCCCAGCCCAGAGCAGAGGGAAGGACAATAGGTATGTGCCATTCTCCAGATCCTGGACATCCCCGGGGACACCTGCTCTCAATTCTGGACTTAGCAATCGTGCCTGAAACAGATCCCCACCATGGGTCTTGGGCCTGCCCCGGTGGTCCCTGGCTACAAGGACAACCTCCAGGTAGCTTCCCAGGGCATAGGTGTCCTGAGCAGGACCCCTCAGGTGGTAGGTGGAGGTCTTGTGGCTGGTGGAGGCCAAAAGGTCCCCCCCATCTCCTGGGGTCAGAGGCCAGTATAGAAGGTGGATCAAGTTGGGGAGCTCCAGGGGGAGAGAAGTGGGATCTTTGTCTGCAGAAAGGGACTTTGGAGGCCAAGGGTCACTGTTGCCAGACCAGAAAATCCTGAAGTACAGGACCTGTGGGTAGAGAAAGAGGCACTTATCAGTGGTGGGTTTTTCTTATTTTCCTCCTGGGAGGGAGATTTCAATTCACCTGTCTCCAGTGTGTGGTAGGTATCAGGCAGGGCAACCTTACACTGCTTCTGAGCCAAAGTTTAGAATCTAACACAACTGCCACCACAGAAAACCACAGACACTAGCTCCTGTTAAAAACCATGTGTCAGTGGGTTTTGGTAAATCTCACAGAGAATAAACAACTCCTCCTGGTCCTCATTAGTTTTTTGCCCATCTGCATACACTCTTGCAGACCCCACTTTCCAGCTCTCCCTTTCCCTTATAAGTCATTCTCTCTGTATTCCAAAACCAGGAAGAACCCCTCCTTCCCATTCTGTAGCCTCCCCTGGAGGGGGAATGCATGCAGAATGTACAAAGATGAAAATAATTAGCAGAAAATTCTTTCCTAGAAAACCGTAGAAGAAAACCATGGTTCCTAGAGCCTAAGGGAAGGAGGGATGAAAGTTATTGTAGTTTTGTAGGATGGAAAGAGTTATCAGGATAGAAGGTGCTAATGGTCACACAACAGTTTGGATGTATTTAATACCACTGAAATGTACACTTAAATGATTAAGATGATACATTTTCTATCACTTATATTTTATCACAATAAAATTATAAATAAATAAGGAGAAAAACAAAAAGATTTTGAGTTTCATCAGAACAAGTAGTTACAACATTGATGTTAACTTATCTAAACATTGACAAGATTCTTCTTCTTCTTCTTCTTCTTCTTCTTCTTCTTCTTCTTCTTCTTCTTATTATTATTATTTTGATACTGGGAATGGAACCTAGGAGAGCTTTGCCACTGAGCTACATACCCAGCCCTTTCTTCAAGCATACTCTTTTGGGCTGGTTTTGGGCTCCCTTATCTTCTATCCCTACCTGACACAGTTTTCTCATTCTCTTTCTAAGACACCTTCTAAGTGTCCTGTCATGACACTTCTGCTTCTGGATTAAAAGTGGGAAAATGGAGAGTTTCTCTCAGCCTCCTTCTCCCAGATGAAAATAACCAGCTCAAGTTCTGTATAGAGGTAAGTGGAACAAGGAATACTTACCCAAAACACAATGGCTAGCACCACAACCAAAATCTTGTGCCACCTGAAATGTCTGAGGTACAGGCCTGTGGAAACCTGGAGTTCTTTATTAGACATCTGGAATGTGATCAAGACCCTAGATGGAGAATTTTTAAAATTCAAGAACAAATAAGAAATTATCCACAGAGAAGTTATATACCAATAATGGCTGTTTCTGAAAAGTCTGGTTACATGACTAAATAATTCAAAGCTATACTCAGCAGCATGAACCACATTTTGATGGGCTGAAGAACATCCAGCTCCTACCACATCTCTTAGAGAGCCTGAAAATTGATCCTGCAAGTTTTCTGAACCCCTAAGAATTGCTGTGTTTCAAACTCTGGCCTTTAACATCACCAGCCTTCCCCAAGCAGGCGGGTTCTCTTTCAACAAGAAGTAGAGTTGGCTTAAAGTATAACACTTCTGTTCTTCCACCCAACATCAGGCAGCAAGGGCTGCCCCATGTTCTGTCCAGATTCTGTGTAGAACCCCAAAGGCCTCACTGGAGTGGATCAGCCGCACTTGCACCTAGGCCTTCCCAGCCCAGAATAGGGAGAAGGACAATAGGTATGTGCCTACAGACACTAAAACATCACAGGATGATATTATAAGTCACCTTATTTCAATTAATTTGGAAACTTAGATAAAATGAACAAATCCTCAAAAAACGTCTTATCGAAATGAACACGAGGGCTGGGGTTGTACCTTAGGGGTAGAGCGTTTGACCAGCATGTGTGAAGCAGTGGGTTCAATTCGCAGTACCACATATAAGTAAATAAAATAAAGGTCCCTTGACAACTAAAAAATATTTTTAAAATGAACACAAGAAGAAAGATAAATCCAAACAACGCAGTATTGTTTTCAACTAAACAGAATCCATAATTTAAAACATTCTGCCAAAGACAATACTAGGCACAGATTGCTTCCCTAGCAAACCTTCCCAAACACTTAACAAACAATTTACATGGAGTACTGAAATTCTTCTCCAGCAAACAAAAAGAAGGAACATTCACAACTCATTTGAAAACCTCATCTTGATTCAAAATCCTACCAAGTATATTACAATAAAGGAAGATTACAGACCGACCTCTCTCACACAGATGCAAAATTACTAAATTAATCAGTGAATAATTTTGAGTGGTATCGAATCAGTGGTGTTGGAAGTCCATGAGAGGAGACTTTTGGTTTCAGCTCTGACAGTGAAAAGCTTGAAAATCATCGTGCCCATCAACAAGAAAAGGCTGGATACATTGCAAATCAACAGGTCTTCCTAGATTCAGCAGAGAATTGGGGGCAAAGGGCCACTGCCATCCCCCAAAACTGAACAGACAGGCAACTATAGAGAATCACAGTGTAACAGAGGTCCCCATCATGCTTCAAACATAACTCTCTCTGCTCTGCCACTATGGCTCATGGACAATTTCTCCTTTAAATTTCTCCTCTCCTTTTCCCCATCCCTAACAATTGTGGAAGCAATATTAACCTTCTTCCCATCTGAGGTCAAAATTCTCCAGCCCTCACACCACAGGAACAAAGGTAAGGAGTCCAGGCTTCAGGACAGGCACAAGAGGATCTGAGACATGGCTGGTTCTCTAGAGTACGGGTGAATATATGACTCCTGACAAGGCACAGCTGGAGTATAGCCTTTGAGCCACCTTTTGTTTTGGGGTACCGAGGATTGAACTCGGGGGCACTTGACCACTGAGCCACATCTCCAGCTCTACTTTGTATTTTATTTAGAAATAGGGTCTCAATGAGTTGCTTAGCACCTCGCTTTTGCTGAGGCTGGCTTTGAACTCACGATCCTCCTGCCTCAGCCTCCTGAGCTGCTGGGATTACAGGCCTACACCACCACCGTGCCTGGTATTAAACTACCTCTTTCAAAGCCCTCTGTTCCCCCTGACAGAAAAAAAGCCTCTGGGACAGGAGTACCCTGTTTGTCCTTTGCTAACAGAGCAATAAGACTTCTTTTTCCTTTTTCTCAAAATCTTGTCCTCATTATTAGATTAGCATCAGGGACAAGGACTGAGATTTTGATATCACATTTGGTGACTCATATAGGACCCAATAACCCCCCCCCACACACACACCACTGCCACCACTCTGGTCTTCTGCACCCATGCTGAAGATGCAGGGTGTCTGGTGAGCTTGTTGAAAGCCAACCACTGTAGACTTAGGAGAGATGGTGAGTTTGCCTTGTGTTGACTCAAGGAGCTCTTCCTATAAGTAAGAGGGACTGAGGGACTGTCCCAGTAGCTGCTGAGGCTCCTTTTGCTTTGTTGAACCCCCTCCTTCTCTTCCGGAACAGTATGGGTTGCTCCACCAATTGGTCTACTTTGAGAAAAAGGGAAAAGAATGCAGTAAAGTTGCAACACCTTGGCCATCTGGTAACCTTCCCCAGTGGGCCTGCAGAGACCCTTGATGCCATACATCTGGTCCCTCTTTGTGGGGACATCAGTGTCACCATTTGTGTAGGGGTCATGGTTAGGTAGGAGTAGGGAAACAGGCCTTTTTTCCCTATCTGCTGACTGTTTTAAAGGCTTCTGTCAGCCACGGTTTTGGGGCTCCCCTCTGCTCATCCCTTTCTGTGTTTTTGTTTGCATCTCTTTTTTAAAAATATTTTTTAGTTGTAGTTGGACACAAAACCTTTATTTTTATTTGTTTTTATTTTTATGTGGTGCTGAGGATCAAACTCAACGCCTCGCACGTGCTAAGCGAGCCCTCTACCTCTGAGCCACAACCTCAGCCCCTTGTTTGCATCTCTTACTGGCCCTTTAAAATGAGGGCAATGCTGTGTTGATCCTACTGATTGAAAGTCTCTTGAAAAAGGTCTTAGCTAAAAGAGACACACACAGGTATGAACCTAAGTAAAAGATGATGTTTGACTGTGACAAAATCTGGTCATTGAGTGGTATTCTGAATCCATATCCAATCTTGCCATTGGAGCTGGTTTGTCCAAGTTAGGTAAATGGGAGAAGCACTATCTGTGCAGGGTGCTGTGCAGCTGTATGAGAAAGACTCTGAACAGTCAGAAACTAAGCTGATGGTCCAAAAAAGGCCCTGCCTCTTATTTGCAAGGAGAGCAGGACATCAGAAGTTTAGAAAGACATAAACCCTTTCAGCCCCATGTGGGCAGGCCTGGCCCTGCCTCTCAGCCTGGCCCCAGGCAGCCGAAGCTCACTCCACTGTGGGTCACAAACCTTACCCTACGGGGAAACCCCAGGAAAGCTTCCTGGGGTGTAGAGAAAGGCAAAGAGGACTTGGCTTCCATCCTGCCTCCCAGCCCCTTTTAGTCATGGGACAAAGGGATTGGCTAGCCAAAAAGGACATGGCAGTGGGTGTTGAGACTGCTAGACCATGACCTGGGGACAGGAATGGTCTCCCCTTTTAAGATCTGACAGGACACCTCATTTGGCCAGGGAATACCCACCACTGGGCAGACGTTGGGAGATGGGCCATGACCAGTGGACTAATTGTCAAAACAGCTTGACTATGCAGCAAAAGGATGTCCCCAGCCCACCCCACCTTTGGGCAGTAACTGTCACTTGTGATTTACTACAAGAGGTTGAGAAATTCCCTTGAGGACAACCCATTAATGTTTTTTTTTTTTTTTCTCTCACCAAGTCTTGGTCCTACTTGAACAGGGAAGTGGCTACTGGCTGACTGCTGGGAGGAGGGGAGATACCAGGCAACCCCAAGGTCAACCTTAAAATGGTGTCCACCTCAAATCCAGCAGCACTGTTTCCATTAGATGATAATGAGACCCTACAACCTAATTGCCTGAAATCTTAGAGAGTGTCTACTCTATGGGTTTAGACTTGTCTGATCAGCCCATCACAGAACTGAACTGGGACCTCTTCATGGATGGGAGTAGCTTCATGGGAAATGGAGCTGCAGGTAGCTGGGCGTGCTGTGCTCACAGAACAGCAGGTATTAGGAGCTGAGGCTTTGCCACCTGGAACATCAGCACAGAAAGCTGAGCTAATTGTCCTGACAAGCACTCTCAGACTGTCCAAAGGAAAGAAGTGACCCAGCAAGTGAGCTGGTTGATTGGATGGGCAACAGAAGGTATGCACAGCCTGGGATCCCAATCTAGAGGGAAAACAGAAAAGATAAATCACACCTTAAAAAACACAGTGGTTGCCAGGCGTGGTGGCACATGCCTGTTATCCCAGAAGCTCAGGAGGCTAGGACAGGAGGTTTGTGAGTTCAAAGCCAGCCTCAGCAAGTGTGAGGTGCTAAGCAACCCAATGAGACCCTGTCTCTAAATAAAACACAAAATAGAACTGGGGATGGACTTAGTGGTTGAATGCCCCAGAGTTCAATCTCTGGTACTCAAAAAAAAAAAAAAAAAAGACAGTGGTTAAACTATGCTAAGAAACTCACCTGCAATGGGTTAGGGTGTTGCCAACTGCTCACTTCAATAAGGGCATTACCAGAAGCATGCTTAAATTGAGCCCAGGAAGAAACTGTATAGTAGAGATCCTTTCTGGTAACCTGGGGAAGGAGAGGGACAAAATGTGGCTATAGCAAAAGAAACTAGATTAATGTAGTATGCGGGACAATCAGTCAAATATTAATTGCTTTATGTGAGTGTGATTCTTCCAGGTCCCCACCAAGGTTGGAGTCACATCTCTATCCCTTCCAGTAAAAGTCCCACAGAAGCTGTGCATTAATGTGTTTGTTCTCACCAAGTAGGTGAATAGGACGAAATTCAGCGAGACCCTGTCTCTAATAAAATATCTTAAAAGGTCTGGGATGAGGCTCAGTGGTTAAGCACCCCTGGATTCAATCCTCAGTACAAAAAAAAAGTCCAAAAGAAAAAATGACAATAGGAGGTATAAATGTTCCATTCCAGGGCTCCCTTCATTGCCCAGTTTCAGCAGGAAGCAACTTGGAGATGACATTGTCCATTTTTCCATTGTAATGGAAGATAGAAATTGACAGTGAAGAAATAGAACAGGGGACCATTTCATGCTTTGAAGATAACCCTCACTGCTCAGCCACTAAATCTTATTTTAAAACTGGTTTCATTTGGTTGGTTGATTCACTCCCTTTCTCTTCTCCTTCTCCCCCTT